ACCATCACCATCATCATTAACACCATCACCATCATCATTAACACCACCACCACACCATCATTAACACCATCACCATCATCATTAACACCATCACCATTAACACCATCACCACCATCATCATTAACACCATCACCATCATCATTAACACCACCACCATCATCATTAACACCATCACCACCATCATCATTAACACCATCACCACCACCATCATCACCATCATCATTAACACCATCACCACCTTCATCATTAACACCACCACCATCATCACAATAATCATCGTCGCCGCCCGCTGCCCCAACTATCGCCTCTGCAGACTGCCGGGTGTGCAAGCGCTGTTAGCGAGCGCCTATTAAAGGCCGAACAGCACACGAGTGGAGGGCGCCGTCCCAACGTTTTGAGTCACACCCCCCCCCCCCCGTGGCGATGATTTCCGACTCATTTGAGGCCGAGTCGATCTAGGGGACGCCCACACGTTCGCCTCCTCCCCACCACGAGCCCCGGGCTGGGGTTGAGCTCCCACTGGTTGCCGCTAAGGGGCGGTGATGGGGGACAAACGCCGCTCTCCTCTCAAACCCCCTTCACTCGCCTGACACGACCCCCTCCCCTCACTGCGGCCCCCCCCTCCCCTCACTGCGGCCCCCCTCCACTCACTGCGGCCCCCCTCCACTCACTGCGGCCCCCCACTCACTGCGGCCCCCCTCCCCTCACTGCGGCCCCCCTCCACTCACTGCGCCCCCCCCCCTCAACGCGCCCCCCTCGGTGCCCCCCCTCCCCTCAACACGACCCCCTCGGCGCCCCCCTCCCCTCAACACGACCCCCTCGGCGCCCCCCTCCCCTCAACGCGACCCCCTCGGTGCCCCTCAACGCGACCCCCCTCGGCGCCTCCCTCGGCGCCCCCCTCCCCTCAACGCGACCCCCTTGGCGCCTCCCCCTCAACGCGACCCCCTCGGCGCCCCCCTCCCCTCAACGCGACCCCCTCGGCGCGACCCCCTCGGCGCCTCCCCCTCAACGCGACCCCCTCGGCGCCCCCTCCCCTCAACGCGACCCCCTCGGCGCCCCCCTCCCCTCAACGCGACCCCCTCGGCGCCTCCCCCTCAACGCGACCCCCTCGGCGCCCCCCTCCCCTCAACGCGACCCCCTCGGTGCCCCCCTCCCCCTCAACGCGACCCCCTCCCCTTCAACGCGACCCCCTCCCCCTCAACGCGACCCCCTCGGCGCCCCCCCCTAACGCGACCCCCTCAACACGACCCCCTCAACGCCCCCCCTCCCCTCAACGCCCCCCCTCCCCTCAACGCCCCCCCTCCCCTCCCTCAACGCCCCCCCTCCCCTCCCCTCAACGCCCCCCCTCCCCTCAACGCCCCCCCTCCCCTCAACGCGGTCCACTCGGCAAATCGAGCCTCCTATCTCGCCTGAGCATGTCGCGACGTTCGCGGCCTCTTACTGGGCGCCAAGCAAGGCCCTCCCTACCTGTCCTCGTGTCGGCCTTGTCGTGGGGAGACTCCCGCTCTTCAGCTCTTCCACTGCCAGGCTCGGCTCGGCTTGATCAAAGTTTAAATGGCGCCAATGCCGGCTGTTGTGAAATGTGAAAGTGCACGCCCATCAATGACGTCACGCGCTAGGGGGAGGGGTGAGAAATGTGACGTCACATCAAATGCTCAACTTTACATAAATATAGACAACACGTTCTACTTAGTTAAATAGACTTTTTAATAAATGTTTTTTTCTACAACATCAGAGTGCAGCGCCACATTAAATACGCACTACAATGACAATAGTTTACAGCGATTTGAAGCGTGTTTTATTTGGGGGGGGGGGCAGAGTTTTGTGACGTCATATTTGAGGGGGGGTCTGATTTTTTTGTACCGCCGTGTGACGAGGGGGGGTCAAAAATCGTCCAAAAACGCGTGACGTCATTTATGGACGGCCCCTTTGTGCTGTTCGCCTTTTGGCGTCCTCGGGTTCAAGTTCAAGTTCATTTATTAGGTGTAGCCCTGTGAGCCATTCGGCTCTTGAATCGGGTGCAACCGCAACAAACATGAACAAGAAAACATCTTATAGTGACTAAGTGCAAACAGAAAATCCAAGAAAAGACAGCAAAATATTGCAGAAAAAACACCATACACCAAAACTGTGTGCAAAAATCCCAGCGGGATGCAAGTCAAACAACAACAACAACCACAAGACAACTTAGATTAAGGCCATCAGTCTAACTCTGTACTACAACAAACAAACATGGCCAAACCAAAACACTTTTAGAAAATCACCAAAATAAAGCCATAAAAGCAATGAAACAGTGGTCTTAGGAACTGTGACCGAATTTTCACAATCTTCCTAGCGTTCCCGCTGTGGCACAGGGTCCGCTTTTCGGCATTGTCTTCTCCATTTGGCTCGGTCCAGGGCATCTTCAGGGGATGCGTTGACCGTCTTCATGTCTTCCTTTATTCGATCCATCCATCGCTGTTTCGGACGTCCGCGTGGACGGCGGCCCTCTGGCTCAATTTTCACAATAAACGACGTAAACAACATGTACTACCAAACTCTGCAGCCATAGCTGGCTGGCTGCATGAGTCACTCCACAACAGTAGGAGCATCAGTCGGAGTATCAACATTTTTCAATGCACCTTTAAGATCAGCGCACTCGGGTGAGACTATGCCCTTAAAGAAGGCTGTCTCTGGCGTAGGCCAATCAGTTGAAAAACAATGCCCGTGCATTAATTATCAGAGCTTGTTTGTTTGCGTGTTCACAAGTACGTGTGGTTAATGAAGACATGATTCCTTGCAAAAGGTTTAATCTATTTGGTGTTTAAACATCTTAACACAACTCCCCGTTTTATTGCCAGAAAGGCTAAATAGCTACTAATCTTAATTTTTTCCGTACTTTTTTCATTTTCACTGTCCACTACTCACGCTCGTGACACCTACGAGCTGTAGGGGCGGACCTCTGTCCACTCGGTGGTGCTGTTGGTATTCACGTTCAGCACCACGAGTTGGGAGTCTCATCCCTGCAGTTCCCTGTTATGGTGCCACATCTTTTACCAGGTTATAGTGATAGGTGTTTACCCTTTCAACTGGTACAAAAACTGACACCTTTATACAAGGCATCATGTTTGCAATAACCACAACACAAGCAGTCAAAATGCAAACAAAAAGAAACAACTCTGATAATGATATGCACTGTCCTTGAAGTTGATTGGTCCACACCCGAGACAGCTTTTCTTAGAGCCTAGTCTCCACTGGTGTTGGACCAGATGACGCCAAAAGGCGTACAACTCAAAAATAGCGCACTATCAGAGTATTGAGAGCTCGGGGTAAGCATTTACACTATGAGACCTCCTTTACCAGTGGCAAAATATAGTAGTAGGTTTTTACCCTTTCAACTGGTACAAAAACTGACACCTTTATACAAGGCATCATGTTTGCAATAACCACAACACAAGCAGTCAATATTGTTTGCATTTTGACTGCTTGTGTTGTGGTTATTGCAAACATGATGCCTTGTATAAAGGCGTCAGTTTTTGTACCAGTTGAAAGGGTAAAAACCTATTACTATATTTTGCCACTGGTAATGGAGGTCTCAGTGTAAATTTTTACCACATTGCCCCTCAATTCCCCTACACACGGGGTACTATCTTCACAAGGATTGTGTTTCACTGCATGAGGACGAAATGAATCTTGTAACAGAATGAATGATAAATTGTGTTGAATTACAATCGATGATCGGCTGGATGAAGGAGGTCGGGGGTTCGATCCCGACGCTGTATATTTGTCGTCTGCGTGCCTCTCTCTCATCGTCATCACGGTGGCTAGGAGATGTTAGCTACCTCGACTGCTATACAAGAGGTAGGTATTTGGAGTTTGCGTGTCTCTCTCATCATCTCTCATCATCATCAAGACGCGGAAGACTACGAGACACGGCATGGATCGACAGAAACGCGGAGTGGAGCGGCCCCGCACCACGACGCGCTCCGGGATCCGTAAATCCAGTTCCATTGCGCGGGTCCGGCCCTGTGACCCCGCCCCCTCCCCTCGACCCTCTTCTCGACCCCTCCCCTCGACCCTCCCCTCGACCCCTCCCCTCGACCCCTCCCCTCGACCCCTCCCCTCGACCCTCCCCTCGACCCCTCCCCTCGACCCCTCCCCTCGACCCCTCCCCTCGACCCCTCCCCTCGACCCCTCCCCTCGACCCCTCCCCTCGACCCCTCCCCTCGACCCCTCCCCTCGACCCTCCCCTCGACCCCTCCTCTCGACCCCTCCCCTCGACCCCTCCCCTCGACCCCTCCCCTCGACCCCTCCTCTCGACCCCTCCCCTCGACCCTCCCCTCGACCCCTCCCCTCGACCCTCCCCTCGACCCTTCCCCTCGACCCTTCCCCTCGACCCCTCCCCTCGACCCCTCCCCTCGACCCCTCCCCTTGACCCCTCCCCTCGACCAGCCAATGAGAGCGTCGCCCGAGAGAGCCGTTTAAAATTTGAATTTTTATTTTAATTTTCTGCCGCGCCGCTGCGGCATCTAAGGTGAGTGGCTTCCCCTCGGTCGTGGGGGTCCTCTTTGGATTGTGGGGGTCCCCTCTGGATTGTGGGGGTCTCCTCTGGGTCGTGGGGGGGGGGGATCCCCCGTGCGTGGCACCCCCTCGCGTGCGATTTGAATGAAAAGTTTTCATCTTGATTTGAAGTTTTCGTGACTGCAGGAAATCATACACTTTGGTTCTTTCGGTAAAGTCACGTAGGGTAGAAATAAAATAAATCACGATGTTTCGATTGCAACACAAGCAATCATCATCATGTGGGAAAACCACAGCAAAAAGTTTTTTTTCATTTATAATTCAAATTCTTGGATCTTTCGGTAGAAGCCGAAACGTCGTGAGAATTTTATTGTTTTATTTTTATTATTTCCCGTCTACGTGACTTTACCGAAAGATCCAAGAATATGAATCCCTGCAGTCACGAAAGCTTTAAATCGAAATTTATAATTCATGAAGACATCAAACACCAGCTGCCTTCAAAGAGAGAAATAAATAAAGTGAGAAATCCGAAACGTTTCGAGCAATGGGCCTTTCACGAGGAGAGATAAGCGAGTGGTTTGCCTGCCGTGATGAGGATCTAATTCATTTTTCTATGTAAATAGTTCGTGAACATTTAGCCCTAGACAAAGCCTGCAATACCCACTGATAAACGAATTCCCATTATTCATTGTTAGTTTTCATTGTTCAGAGTGTTTGGCTGCTGTACAACTAACTTTCAATCTTGATTTGAAGCTTTCGTGACTACAGGAATCCATCCATACTCTTTGGTTCTTTCGCGACCAATATTATTCATAATAAAGGTTTTTGGCTTAGATCGCGTCAGTATAAATGTGTCAAAAACCTCCAGCATCATTGGGCAAATCACCCGATGGTGCTGGATGTATTAACCAGCGAAACGTCGGACTACTCAGATTTTAAATGTTGTGGATTCACTCTTCAACACATCGGTGGGCTGAAGTAGTCCACTACACTATACACTACACACTATGCTACACACTACGCTACACTACACACTACGCTGCACACAACACTACACACTACACTATACACGACACGACTATACACTACACTACTATACACTACTATACACTACTATACACTACACTACACACTACACTATACACTACACACTATGCTACACACTACGCTACACTACACACTACGCTGCACACTACACTACGCACTACTATACACTACTATACACTGCACTACACACTACGCTACACACTACATTACGCACTACACTATACTAGTTACTATTTGGCGTTTTGTTTATGTAATAAATCTCTTACCGATTGGACGTGTCGGGTGGTGGAGGGTTTCGACACATTTATACCTACGCGATATAACCAAAAACCTTTGTTATGAGTAAATGGAATAGTTAAGTTTTTCAAGGTAGTATTATTCCTCATTAGTATGTAATATTAAAATATAATATTATTAATTACCAGTATACATTATAATTATCAGTATGCTTTGGAATTAATTATCAGTGCTTCATTATAAGTATGAATGGATATTCATGATTATTATGCATTATCAGTATGCATGATTAATTATCAGTATTTTCATTAGTTATACTATGAATTATTATTTAGTATTATTATGCATAATTCATTTTGAGTATGCATAACTTCATAAGATTACAGTATTAATTTCCACTATACATTGTCATTAATGATCGTATTGCTTTATTATCGGCATGCATGATTGTAAGTTTCAATTATTATTCATTATAAGTACTGTATGCAGTATTGTGCATTATTAGTACAGGTAGTCCTCTACTTACGATGGAGATGCGTTACGATGACCCCATCATCGTAAGTCAAAAATATCGTAAGTCGAAGATGTCCCAGCCTACCCAGGAGTCTTAAAGAATGGTGATAATTTAGCAAAACAGAGCAATTTACAGTACCGTACTGTATAAACTATATACTGTATGTATGTATTAATTACAATACTGTATTGCAAAGTGAAATGTAAAGTAAAAAAAACAAGGTAAATTCTTAGCCTACCTATATGAACTGCAATTTAATAGAAAAAAAATGTCACGAAACAATCCTATCTGCGAAACAACTTTTAACATGCATTGAACGTAGCGTATCGTGGTAACTCAAACATGAAATTGCTAAAGCTACGTATCATATTTCGATTTAAAGCTTTCGTGACTGCAGGGATTCATCTTCTTGGTTCTTTCGGTAAAGTCACGTAGAATGGAAGTAATAAAATAATAAAAATAAAACATAATAAAATAATTCTCACGACGTTTCGGTCACAACGCAAGCAGCCGTCCTCAGGTGGAGAACAGGTCTGTCGAGAAGACAGCGTCTACGTATCACACATGCATTGAACGTATCGTAACGTATCATATTGTACTGTACTCACCAAGATTCTGTCCGTCGTCTGCATACTTGAACGATGTTAGGTTGTTGATGGCTACATTAACTTCGTTGTCAGAAGAGGATGGCGACGATAAATCAGCAGGTTCATCAATATCGCTGCTGCATTTGTAGTACAGAGTTAGACTGATGGCCTTAATCTAAGTTGTCTTGTGGTTGTTGTTGTTGTTTGACTTGCATCCCACTGGGATGTTTACACAGCGTTGGTGTACGGTGATTTTTTCCTGCAATGTTTTGCTGTCTTTTCTTGGATTTCTGTTTGCACTTAGTCACATGTTCACTTTAAGATGTTTTTTGTTCATGTTTTAGTTTTTTGTTTGTTGCGGTTGCACCCGATTCAAGAGCCGAATGGCTCACAGGGCTACACCTAATACATGAACTTGAACTTGCCTGCGTGAGATCGAAATAGCCTAAGTCGGACCATCGCAACTCGGGGACTATCTAAACTGTATTTGTAATCATTAGTATGCAGCATTACTCAATATCTGTATGCATTAAAGTGCATTATCACCACGCCCTACGAACCCAGCCACCCGAGTTCGATTCCTGCTCACGGTCACCAGCACCGGTGACGATAATCTGAACCTGTCCTGGGCATCCCCTAGGTAGACTCGGCCTCAAATGAGCACCTCGTGCGGCGTTTGAGGAGTTGGTACGTCCGCTAACGGACGTACCAACTACATCTGTGGCAAGGGGTGTGTGTACGAGGGTGGTTCAAGTTCATTTATTAGGTATAGCCCTGTGAGCCATTCGGCTCTTGAATCGGGTGCAACCGCAACAAACAAAAAACAAAAACATGAACAAAAAACATCTTTAAGTGAATACTTAAGTGCAAACAGAAAATCCAAGAAAAGACAGCAACCACATCTGTGGACACAAGGGGGCGTATTTTTTCGGTAAAGTCACGTAGATAGAAAATAAAAATTTAATAAAAAATAAAAGCAAAAAACCCACGACCTTTCGATCGCAACACAAGCGGTCTTCATCAGGCGGAGAGAAAAGATTGGGCAAGCCTTCAAATGCAACTGCTTATAAGGGCTTCCATAGTTGTGAGTGGGCGGACGATTCAATGCAAATGTGGGTGTAAAGCGTGGTATAGAGGTGGAGCTGAGTGAGAGGGGCACAGTCCAAGTGTGTTAGGCAATGGGCAGAGAGAGGGGGTGGAGATAGGGGTGGCGATAGGGGGAGAGAAGGTGTTGGAATGTGTGGGAGTTTCCCAGCGCTATATTTGGGCTTGTTTACACTTGCAGGCTGTATTGCTTTGGTCTGTTTCAGTGGCGCAGGAAGAAAAAGATGGGATTGGTGTGGACTGCCCGATTCGTGGCTCTACTGCGTGAGTGCTCTTGTCACTGCGTGTTTAGTGTTGCCAGGTCATAATCACCGTCATCATCATCAACAGTGCACCTAGCATGGCACAAGCGGCGTGAGGGTGTTTCATTCGGATAGCTACAACCTCGGTGCTGCGTGGAAGCGAATCGTAAAATAATGCATTGCTTAAATGCATGTCAATAAAGGTCACCATATGGTCCTTTTGCCAGACCAGATGTCGATACCACCCAAGGTAGTAACACTTCAATGGTGCCATTTTATTTGTTACACCAACATAAGTAAAATAATACGTGATCAGCTTTCCAGCTGTTTAATTTTTCTCGCAGAAAACCTGTTTTTGTACCTATCGCAATCACGCCTATTTGCCTGGACGTTACAAATAAAAGATTCCAACACCTCTGCTGTTAATTAAGACAATGCCTAATTTACAAAATAGATGTTTGTCCCCAAGACATGTATTTCTTACATATTCTTGCGTTTATTCACGCTTGGTCTTCAATTTCAGTGACTTAGTGAAGTCTGGAAGAGATGGGTGCTATCTGTTTGCCTTTTGTTTCTAGCAGCTCGTATGCTCATGATCTATTTACTGGCACGTGAGGCAAGTATTGGTGCTTCTGTATTTATCTTTCAGTAAAGATATCTAAAGTGCTAACTTTACCCTCAGTGTATTGTTAATGTACCTGTTAAGATTATCAGTTTGTCAATTTTTACATGTTTTTAATATTTTGCTTCTATAAATTGTAAACTTTCATAACATGCACACAATTATTGCCAATAACTTTGTTATTACCAATATTACCAATGACTTTAAAATCATAAAACTAACTATTTATATTTAAAAAATAGTTATTTTTATTTTATAAATAGTTTCTACAATTTTATATAAACTTTACCAAGTAAATAAATCCTTAATTTAGCGTTTTTCTGCATCTTTCATTGCAATTTGTCTCCGCATTTTAAGAAATAACCTAGTTGACTTGCATATCATTGAAAAGCTTATTCTCTGGAGCAGATGTCTAGCTTGGTCATATATGGCTATTTACATTGCTGTAACACAATCAATCATCATCAGGTGTGATGATGATTGCTTGTGTTGCAGTCGAAACGTGAAACGATAATTTTGTATTGTTTTATATTTGTATTATTTTATTATTTCCCTTCTACGTGACTTTACCGAAAGAACCAACAATATGAATTCCCTGCAGTCACTAAAGCTTTAAATCGCAAATATAACTCTCAAATCTCATTGCTGCTAGCATCACATTATAGTGTGCTGATCTTTAAAGGTGCATTGAAAATTTTAGATTCTGCTACTGATACTCCAGCTGTTATGGAGTGACTCATGCAGCCAGTTATGGCTGCAAAGTTTGGTCATACATGTTATGTATATCGTTTATTGTTAAATTTGAATCACAGTTCCTATGATCACTGTTACATTGTTTTTATAGCTTTATTTTGGTGATTTTGAAAAGTTTTGGTTTAGCCATGTTTGTTTGTTGTAGTACAGAGTTAGCCTGATAATTCTAGATTTGAAGCTTTCGTGACTGCAAGGATTCATACTCTTAGGTTCTTTCGGTAAAGTCACGTAGGTGACTTTACCGAGATGCTCCAGTAGTTACGGAGGCTTGTGTTGCTTCCGAAACGTGATTTAATTTAGTTATTTTCATGTATTATTATTTTATTATTATTTTATCTACGTGACTTTACCGAAAGAACCTAAGAGTATTAGCCAGATAACTTTAATCTAAATTGTCTTATGGTTGTTATTGTTTGACTTGCATCCCACTGGGATTTTTTGCACACAGCGTTGAAATACGGTGTTTTTTCTGGAAGACTTTGCTGTTTTTTCCAGGATTTTTCTGTTGCGTGTAGTCACTTTAAGATGTTTCTTGTTCATGGTTTTGTTGCGGTTGCACGCGAGTCAAGAGCCGCATGGCTCACAGGGTTATACCTAATAAATTAAACTGAAACTGAAAAAATGCCAGAACTGGCATTGCGATTGTCTCAAAATTACATTTTGCATGCCGAGTTTGACAACTCATGTTTCATAATTGGTAAAGTCGCATAATTCTACATACTGCTTCCTACTTGGAATAGCTAGAAATGTTCGTAGGGATTTTTTAAATATCTTTTGTCATTTTCATTTTATGTGGTATATACAAAAAAAATGGGCAGAAATCTTGTTTTTAAACATGTGTCAAGTGTATTTTAACATAATTAACTGAAAGAACAATATGTTGACAAAAGCCTCTGTAGATTACTTACCAATTAGTTATTGATCACATTAAAACAAACCAAAAAGTTCTGACTTCATCTACTAAGTCAATATTGTATTTTACATAATATGCAAATCTGTGCAGATGTAGTGGAATAACGCGCGGGGGGGGGGCTCATTAAGATTTATTTGCAGTGAGTGGCTGGCTGCAAATGCAGGTGCGGAACAGACGCCAGGCAGACGGGAGATTGAAACGATAACGACGGAAGCCACGGGCGTGAGGCGACAGTAGGTCGCCTGCTTAGTTAATGAGGAGGGGGGTTATATACGAGAGCCTGAGAGAAAGAGGGTGGTTGGTCGCAATGAAGAGAATATGAAAGAAGAGAAGCTAGCAGAGCATATAGCAAGCAGTAGAGAAGCTAGCAGAGTGTATAGTGGAAGGTTAGCAGTAGAGAAGCTAGCAAAAGATATAGTGAGATGCTAGCAGTGGAGAAGCTATCCGAGTGTATAGTGATAGGCTAGCAGTGGAGAGGCTAGCGGAGTGTACGGTGGGAAGCTATCGGAGTGTGTAGTGGTAGGCCAGCAGCAGAGAGAGCAAAGTGAGCAGAGCGTGACAGGCAGGCTAGCAGTGGAGAGACTAGGAGAGTGAGAGAGAGGAAGCAAGCCGTGGAGAGTCTGAGAGAGAGAGGGGGAGCGGAGCGAGCAGCGCAATCAGGAGAGTTACGACGGAATTACGGGGTGTCGAACACGAGGAGGAGACCTGTTAAATAAAAGTGACAGGAGAAAGAGAAAAAAGTTGTCCGCGTGAAATAAAAACACTACACATATTTAATGAGATAACACACAATATGCATAAATGAATGGGGGGAAAGTCACAAAACAAAAACATCTTATATTTTTGTGTATATTCATCTGGTAATTTTCATTCTGATAAACGCTGCCCATCAGCTGCCCATCACACACCCAGATGTCTACACGGAATTCATGGAGGGAGGCTTTTCAGTTCAACTGGGCTCCACCAATCCCTTTGGCCGAATCCCTGTTGACCAAGCTATAGAAGAAACGGTGAACAAAGACGATACCCAGACAGCTGGAGGGACAACGGCATTCAGCTTGAACCCAGGAGCTGTGACCAAATATTACCTAACAGTTGGGTACAGAAGCATGTACCTCAGACAGCTGAGAGACCTGATAGGTCAAGGCAGGTCCAAACTGTCCCATCCAGATCTACAGGGTCCAAGGATTAAGAGAGATGAAGCAGATGTCCAGACTCTCATTGACCTTATAGAGAATAACTGGATCAATCCTATGTCCCCTGATGAGACAGATCTGGTTAGCATCTCCACTGGCACCATGACTCCACGCGATGTGACCAGGGATCTCTTGAGAGCTCTTGAGATAGGAGAAGAGGCCTACCAGGTATTCAAGCAAACAAGGTTAGTTCAGGACCCACCATCTGGGAAATTCCACGACAAGACCAAGCAAAGTCTGAAGACATTCTCCAATCTCAGCACAAAACAGCACGTGGAAAGAAAGCACAGGATGTGGTTCTGAAAGCAGATAGAAACCCGTTCAGCCACATTATCCTGGTGGATGAAAGCAGGAAGGTGAATATGAAGGATGTCCTTGCCCACCCACTGGGCCCCACCGCCTTGGGCACTGGCAAATGCTGATGGGTCCCTACAAAAAACAAACAAGGCTGCACTTGCCAGAGAGCTTGAAAAGAATGTGTCTCCTGCAGAAGATATCCCAACCCCATCTACTGCCAACAGGTGTTAAGATGTTAAAACACCAAACTGAAACCTTTTACAAGGAATCATGTCTGCATTAACCACAGTACTTGTGGTCAGAATGCAAACAAAAAACATTCTGATAATATAACACTTGTGTTGCGATCGAAACGTAGTTTTTTGTTATTTTTTGTTGCTTTCTTTGAACCTATCTACATGACTTTACTGAAAGACCCAAGAATATGAATTCCTGCAGTCACGAAAGCTTTAAGTCAAAAAATATCACGGTATTTTATCTTGAAAATCTGCTGATTATGAGTTAACGACAACATTTCTGGCCAGTCATTTCAGAATCAGAATCTCGAATTATCCTGGAGGAATCCAATGAGCTATGAAGCTGCTTTTTCACAGATTTTCTTTTTTACTCGGGTCCTCCCGGATTATGTTGTCCAAGGAGAGGGTTAAAGTGGAGCGCGCACCAAAAACAGCGGATAAACGAGTGCGAGCAGCAGCCTCTGTGTGTTAGAGATCTGTAACGGGCGTGAACCGGTCTCTCTCTTCCCGTGCAGATGTGACATTTGCCGCAAAGCTCCAGCTCTCTCTGCCGGAAAAGCTGTACGTGACGGAGGGGACGAGCTTGACTATCAATTGCTCTTTCTCACCACCACCGACTGACCTGAAATACATCATTGTCAAGTGGTCTATGATGCCCACGTACTACTCGAAGAACATGTCCATGCACGACATCACCAAGGTGACTGAACTGACTATTTGCGCATGTTACTGCTTGCACTGACACTCCACGGTTTTGTTTAACCAACGGAATGTTATTTGTCTGTGCTTGATTTTGCCCCGGAGGAACAACTGTACCGTTTAATAGAATCTTGTTTTACGAAGTTTTGGCCCATTTCATAATTGAATGGCTTCCTATTGGAGGGAACTGGCACACCAAAGGGACAAGCCATGTGCACAAGGAGACATTGTGCAAAGTTCCAAACAAACACAGTAGACTCAATTATCCGCACTCGTAGATCGGGAGGACAGCAGCGGATAATTACAAATCGTGGATAATCCAAAAATATTACTATTTTCCATGGATCTCTGCCAAAAAGCACTAGTATAGGCATAAAATATTGATCGATGATGCGCATGCTCAGTGATAATAACCCTTTCCGGCTCCTGCCCAGCAGAAGACTCAGGCCACTGAGTGGATGACAGCAGAGCCACAGCCAATCAACATCAATCAAACTCAGCCCACTGAGTGGATGAGAGCCACAGCCAATCAGCATCAATCACACTCAGGCCACTAAGTGGGTGACAGCAGAGCCACAGCCAATCAGCATCAATCATACTCAGCCCACTGAGTGGGTGACAGCAGAGCCACAGCCAATCAGCATCAATCACACTCAGCCCACTGAGTGGATGAGAGCCACAGCCAATCAGCATCAATCAAACTCAGCCCACTGAGTGGGTGACAGCAGAGCCACAGCCAATCAACATCAATCAAACTGCGCCCCACTGTTGTAAAGCTATTGCAACTACTGTACTATAGAGGCGATCACGTGAATTTCGTATTAACCGTAGTAACATATTCGTTGGTTTAAACACCATGTGAGACTAATAAACGTTTCCTAGAATAACAATGCCTAACTGTTTTTAGATTATTCATTATGGGGCTTTAAGGAAAATATCCACGAGTTATGAATTTATGTCAGTCTCAGGTGGGCGGTTAGTCCGCAAATTGGATAAACCGCACGCACGGATAATTTATAATCGAACAGTCAACTGTAGATCTATCGCTTCAATCCACAAACAGACCCACTCCATGAGCTCGGTTGGTCAAGGAAAGCTGTTGGTATCCAGCAAACCCCTGCCCATTGCGGGAGTTACGCTCTTGAAAATAGCCACGGTCCGCACACCTCGAGGAGAGAGAAAGACCTCCTGTATGCCAGGCGAGGGAGTTGACATCTCCTAGCCACTGTGATGAAGAGAGAGAGAGACGCAAACTGAAAATATGCAGCAGGCGTCAGGGTTGGGATCGAACCCACGATATGTACACCAGGCAAAGTAGTTAACATCTCCTAGCCACAGTGGCACCCCATAGCTAAACCCAGCGAGGTTGAAGGGTTTATTGTACTGCTATCTCCTGGTCACCTTGCAGTACCTTGTACCCTAGAGGAAGTCTCCCATCCAAGTAGGGGTCGGCACAGTTTGAACCGACTCAAACTGGTTTCAAATTGAGCAAACCAAACCAAACCAGCGACGACTGAACCAAACCAAACCAAAACCAAACTAAGCTAAACCAAACCTCTTGAGTTGGCTTGAACCGAAAAGATGCGCGGCAAACAATATTCGCATTCAATACAAATATCAAGTGTATTAATCGCTAATTTCTACGCAGGCTTTCTTCATATTGAGATTCACTAGCAAGTACTGGACGACGATGTCGTCCACAGCCATCTCCTCAAGCTTGGCACGCCCAATGTCCTTGAACGCAGTGTGGTAGTTCAATGGCAGTGAAACCCCAACACTAGGCAACATCCGCGCCCACGAGCGCACACACATCTCGGCCTTGAACGTGCACTTGTGCAGGTTTGGTCGGTCGAGAAAGGAGCGCTTGGCGGCCGAGTTTGCTCTCTCGGAGGGCACGGACGACGCCGGGATAGGCAAATAGTCGAGGGACACGCGTCGTAGGCGCGGGTACTTGCCGCCGTACAGCTTCCACCACTCGACGACGTCCATGCTCAGGTCCTGAGTCGGCTCAAGCAGGAAGCGGTCGACCTCGGAGGCGGCGCCGTCGTGAGCGTTGGGCGCGTAGACCATGTCAAAGAGGATGTTAATGCCGCCACGCGGCGCCGCCTTCGGCGCCGCGTCCGTCGTCAACGCTGGGTAGCGCTGGTTGAGAATGTCCGTCATCATGTCCTTGATATTGCTGTACTCGGCCTTTACAACCAACCAAACTAGTTTGAGCCGGTTCCACCCTGTCCGAGCCAAACCGAGTCGGTTTTCGTAGCCCCAAACCAAACCGAACCAGTTCAAACAGAGCCAAACCAAACCGATTTGGTTCGGTTCAAACCGCGGTTTGGTGGTTTGAGCCAAACCGTGCCGACCCCTACATCCAAGTACTCAACCCTACTTAGCTTCGTTCTCAGACGGGAGTTTTTGTGTTGCGTTCTGGTAAATTGCATGTTTGTGCGGTGTTGCGAATTGTGGGTTGTTGTTTTTTTCCTGTTGCAGATCTACAACTCAGGAATCGAAATTGCCAGTACCGGAGTGGCCAAGTTTGTGGGCAACGTGGAGAAGGGCGACTGCTCCCTGAGGCTCCTGTACGTCTCCTCGAGCCTCAACCCCGTGTTTAGGTGCCAGGTGATCTGCGGACGGTGCAACACGGAGAATAACGTGGTGGAAGGAGAGGTGATGCTGAATGTGATGGCTGCAGGTGAATAAGAGATTGGGCCGTGTGGTCCCAAAGCCCACTTGCAAAAAGGGGGGGGGGGGGATGGTTTGTTTATTTATCTACGGGAACCTTTTTGCCGGTATCAAGATGATGAAAAAAAGAATAGGCTGATTTACCCCTTTCCGGCATGTTTTATCACACGCATGATGCGTGGTCAATGCAGATTTGACGATGCCTTGCAATAGATGTGTCTATTAGGCGTTTTAACAGCTTAAAAGCAGCTGTGTTCTTGCCTGAATGGGTTAAGCAGCCTCTTCGTTTTTCATCATCTTGATACCGGCAAAAAGGGTCCCATAGATATAACTGGTCGCCCGAGCTATTAATGATTTGATATTTGCATTGCCTTTGTGCCGTTCGTCTTTTGGCGTTCTCGCATCTAATACGGGTGGTGCAGAGACAAGCCCAAATAGAAAGGCTGTAGCCCTGGTGTAGGCCAATCAGCTGGAAGGACAATGCGTACCATTATTATGAAAGCGTCTCTGTTCGCATGTTTTGCCACAAGTGTGATGTGTGGTTACTGTAGATTCAATGATGCCTTGTGATAATAGCTTTTTGTGTTTATTCGGCGTTTGAACATCTTAACACGACTCCTGCGTTATTGGCAGGACTGCACGTGAAGCCATGTTGAGTGAGTGGTATCTCCCTGCTGCACGTGAAGCCATGTTGAGTGAGTGGTCTCTCCCTGCTGCACGTGAAGCCGTGTTGAGTGAGTGGTCTCTCCCTGCTGCACGTGAAGCAGTGTTGAGTGAGTGGCCTCTGCCTGCTGCATGTGAAGCCGTGTTTAGTGAGTGGTCTCTCCCTGCTGCACGTGAAGCCGTGTTGAGTGAGTGGTCTCTCCCTGCTGCACGTGAAGCAGTGTTGAGTGAGTGGCCTCTGCCTGCTGCATGTGAAGCCGTGTTTAGTGAGTGGTCTCTCCCTGCTGCACATGAAGCCGTGTTGAGCCAGTGGGTTCTCCCTGCTGCACGTGAAGCCGTGTTGAGTGAGTGGCGTCTCCCTACTCCTGCATATGAAGCAGTGTTGAGTGAGTGGTGCTGGGTGTGAGTGGGGGTATCGTTGAGCCCCTTCCCTGCCACCGTGTCGGTTCTTGACGCCACCGTCCGTGTCTCTTCAGCCCCACAGCCACGCGGTGGGGACGTGAGTAACGCCACTTTCGAGCTTGAGGCGGTGACCTCGAATGCACCGCTTTTTTTCTCCACGAAGAGGACTGGACTGGTGGCAGCGGTGGCAGTGGTGGCAGCGGTGGCGGTACTGGGCTTGGTAGCTGCGGCTATCGTCAAGTTCAAGCACCGAAGTCAGGGAGCTCTGCATTCTCACACAGGTGCCCTCCTTTTGATGCAGCCATCTCACGTGAACAGGATCCAGGCGATGGGCGCTCTACTTCGCCGTGTTGGGGCGATCCGAATGCGCAGCAATCGGCCATCGGCCTTGCTCACGTCTCTGGGAGAACGACCGTTCTTCTTGGTTCTTTCGGTAAAGTCACGTAGAAGGGAAATAAAAAAATAATAAAAATAAAACATAATAAAATAATTCTCACGACGTTTCGGCCAAAACGTAAGCAGCCGTCCTCAGGTGAAGAACAGGTCTGTCGGAAAGACAGCGTCTGCTTGTGTTGTGGCCGAAACGTCTTGAGAATTATTTTATTATGTTTTATTTGTATTATTTTATTATTTCCCTTCTACGTGACTTTACCGAAAGAACCAAGAAGATGAATCCCTGCAGTCACGAAAACTTTAAATCGAAATAGAACGACCGTTGTTAATTACAAAAAACACTAAAAGCTAACCTTTATTTTACCAGGTAAAGGTCCTGCTTAGCTATGTGGTTCTTTTTCAGAAGCGAACTGGGTATCACAAATTGATAAAGTGGCTTATCATCATCATCGTGCAGAAATTTATAGCAGCAGCCAAATAATCTAAACACGTGACGTTGATTCGAGGGAAAAACCGGAGGACCCGGAGAAAAATCCACGCGACCACAGGGAGAGAGAGACACGCAAACTCCAAATATGCAGCAGGCGTGAGGGTCGTGCCCGAAACCATGACCTGCATACCAGGTGAGGTAGTTAACATCTCCTAGCCACCATGATGATGATGAGAGAGAGAGACGCAAACTCCAACTATACAGCAGCAGGTGTCAGGGTCGGGATCAAACTCACGACCTCCTGTATACCAGGCGAGGGAGTTAACATCTAGCCACCACGGCACCCAATGCCTCGTCAGCAGGCTCTGTACACAGCAGAGATCCAATAATCCGCAATACAATCTGTTGCTGGCTTGCGACTGATGCACACCATGGCAGATTGACGATGCTTTACCGACCACAAGCCACAATCCTGGGCCTCGGACACATTTTTTTCCTTTGTGATTTCTGCGCATGTGTGCCATACGTATAATGAAATAGTTAATGTTAAATCGCTGACAAACGAACCGTGACATCTTTTGACGAACCACTGCCTCATTGCTGCGACCGTCAAGCTGAAGCTCAAGAGGGCGATCCCACAAGGCGAACACCGTGGTGAGATGTTAACTACCTCGCCTGGGGTACAGGAGGTCAAGCTGAAGCTCAAGAGGGCGATCCCACAAGGCGAACACCGTGGTGAGATGTTAACTACCTCGCCTGGGGTACAGGAGGTCTTGGGTTCGTTCCTGACCTTGACGATGTCTGCTGCTGTATATTTGGAGTTTGTGTGTCTCTCTCTTTCCCCATATGAGACATTAACATGTGACACCAAATGTGGAATACGGTGCAGATTGTTAAAATCCCGTTCGTATTTTCTGTTTGTCAGGGTCTGATGATGCTGCTGATGATAGACATCATGAAGATCGGACTGCTGGGCCTGACGTGAACATCAGCTCGGTTTGACACGACACCCCCCCCCAACCCCACTTTTACGCGATCAACCCTGAACATTCTCCAAGCCACGCTTTGGAGGCCAAGAAGAGGGCCAGCAAAGGCCCCCCGGGGGGGTGGGGGGTGGGTCTGACTCCGTGAGTCTCACAGAGGGCGTCGTTGTCCCACGATTGTCGACCCGCTGCCAAACTATCCTCCCGAACGAAAATATGGAATTTTTTTTTTATCTTACCAGGTAAGGCCACACTGAGCTTCAGAAGTCACCTGATCATCAGAAATGATAGCTGCTCAACGAAGCGGCTCATCATCATTGCATGATAATTTATTCTGGCAGCTGAATTACTCTTGAAACACGTGGCGACGTCGATTCTAAATGTGGAGGGGGAAAAAACGGAGGACCCTGGAGAAAAATCCACGCGACCACAGGGAGAGAGGGAGAAGACACGGAAACTCCAAATATACAGCAGGCGTCGGGGTCCGGATGAAACCCCTGACCTCCTGCATACCAGGTGAGAGAGTTAACATCTCCCCAACTCATTTCCAGCATTGACGATTCAACCCTCTCGGCTGCTGCCGCCCTTGGGCACCGTCCGGCTGTCCATGGCCTGCTTTTGAAGTCGGTCAAACCATCGGCTGACATCAACGCTATGTTAAAACAGTGCGAGTACGTGTATATATACAGTTGTGGAGAGCGGTGGTGTAGCGGTTAGCGTGTTGCGCTACGAACCTAGCGGCCCGAGTTCGATTCCCGCTCACGACCAACACCAGTGACGATTATCTGAACCGGTCCTGGGCCTCCCCTAAGTCGACTCCGTCTCAAATGAGTACTGAGCGCGGTTTGTGTATAACTTCGCCACTGGGGAGACAAAGGCGGCCGGGCGTGGTGCTGGCCACCCACCCCCTCGTGGGCCGTATCGGCCTTCATAGATGCTCGCTAACTTTCCCCTACAGTCTGTTAAGGCTATACAGGGGGGATCTTTCTTTAAGGTACGAACAACTTTGTGAACTCATTCGTTCCTTAGTAGAGCACACCGGTGTGTTGAAGAGTAAATCCACAACATTTGCATTTACTATTTGCAAATGGTAAATGTTGTAGTGGGTTTACTATCCAATACACAACCGGTTAGTGCTGAACTAGTAACTAATAGGCATGTTTTGTTTACGTGACAAACCCTCACTAATGAACTATATCGGGTGGTGGTGGTGGCGGTGTATGACGACACATTCATATTTACGCGATCTAACCAAACAAAAACCTCTTATGGATATAATTTGGTTGTGAAAGCCTACTTACGTGTGCAATTAACTTTGTGAGCTGCCAATTTGTGTCACCTCACAGGTTTTTACGCGCGGATCGCATAGCCGCCCCCCTTTACAGCACAGGGTACTAAACCTCGCAAACATGGTGCTACGAACCGCTGACCTCTCAAGGAATTTCCTCGGCGGCAGAGGAATTGTGCTCCGATCCGTCTCGTCGCCGTCGTCGCTGCCCTCTTCGCTAGATATTGCGCTGCTAGACAGTAGTTGGCTGTCTCAGTCAGCGCCGTCAGTATTAGGCGACTAGTGTTGTGTCCAGGCTAGGCTAAGCGACTGTGGAGAGTGTGCAGGTGTGATGCCGCCGCCACGAAGCCGTTCAACAGGCGCCCTAGCTACGACCTCGCCACCACCAAGCGACGGAGCCAACCCCGCGTCCCCCTCACCTCACCTCACATGAAAAGAGCGCCCTACTAGGACCCTGGAGCGGTTTGTATGCCCGGTTGTGTGTGCAGAACGGAGTGGTACGGGAGTTAACCGAGGCCGGCTAGCCGGGGTGCATCTGTGTCCCTGCCCAGGTACGACTCCAGCTGCTACGGCTGGTGCATGATCACCCGCTCGGGGGCCATGACGGGGAACGACACACTCGAGAGACCCTGCGTCGCCAGTATCTCTGGCCCAAATTGGCACAAGACGTGGCCGCCTGGGTACAGGGCTGCCTCGCCTGTCAGCAGTGCGGGCCGAAGCCGGCACGATATCAGGTACCCCTAAGGCCGTTCCGCGTCAGCCGCACGAACCAGCTGGTCGGGATCGACCTACAGGGGCCATTCCCGCGGTCCCATCGAGGCAACCGGTATATCCTAGTCGCAGTGGAGTATTTCACCCGCTACCCCGTGGCAGTGGCCATCCCTGATTAAACGGCCCTGGTGGTGGCCCGGACATTCATGGAGCATTACGTACTTAAGCACGGGATCCCAGAACGAGTCCTCACCGACCAGGGTAGCGAGTTCAAGGCCGAGCTGTTCCAGGCACTGTGCCGAGAATTCGGAATCCAGAAGGACCGAACCACAGCGTACCACCCCCAAGCGAACGGTATGGTAGAGCGCATGAATCAGACCCTAGCAGGGAAACTCAAACGTATGGCGGCCGCAAATCAACGGGATTGGGACGAACACCTCCCCTACGCCATTTTCGCCTACGCCACCACCGTACACACGTCAACGGGACAAACCTTGTTTTTAATGATGTTCGGCTGTGAGTCTCGTTTACCCGCAGATCTGCTATTCGGCGTTCCTTTCCCCCAGCCGGAGGAGGGAAGCCGCCCCGTGGAACACCTGATGGAGACCCTGCGAGAAGCCCGAGGCCGAGCATACCCGCAAGGGGAAGCCGCGCATCGGCGGCAGGAACAGGGCGCCCGACCCCGCATGGAACCCCCCTTATTCCTGACAGGCGCTAAGGTATGGCTACACACCCCTCGCGTCGGGGCCGGGCAGGTGGGGAAACTGACGACCTACTGGCGGGGACCCTGGACCGTGGTGCGGCAGATCTCCCCCTGGACGGTACTAATCTATGGCGGGGAGAGGGGTCGAGAGACGGTGGTCAACGTCCGCCGCTTAAAACCATGGAAAGCGGCCCCGGCGAGAGAGAACCCCGTCACCCGAAGGCCCCGAAATCCCGGGGTACCCGCACCCCTCGTGTTGGGGGGCCTCGCACACTACATGGGCCCCGCCGGGCTCCCGAGACGCCCCGATCCAGTCAAGAGACGGCGCGGACGACGGCCCCTAAACCCCCTCCGCTTCTGAGTTTGTACCCCAGCCCGCAGGTACCGAGGGACAGGGAGAGCCGCTGGAGTGGAGGAGGAGGCCGCCGCAGGTGCTGCAGAGGACGGAGCCACCCGCCCCGAAACCAGCCACTAGGTCCGGACGGATCCCCCGGACCCCGCAGCATTTCCTCGTGGGCGCGGCTCAAGCAAGGTGCTCCAGTCAACCCGGGACGGGGACTGGCACCTCGGGGGGCTATGTGATGCCGCCGCCACGAAGCCGTTCAACAGGCGCCCTAGCTACGACCTCGCCACCACCAAGCGACGGAGCCAACCCCGCGTCCCCCTCACCTCACCTCACATGAACACACCCGCATGCATTTCCCCCCCCCCATAGAGCTCCGAGGGGAGGTCACCTGACCGACCGGTTTTTATCCGAGAAGCCCTTATCGGGATTAACTTTCACGGTTTCCGGCGAGCAGGGAATTGGACGACCTCCCCCGACGCTACTTTGCACCGAGGCGCTGCGACCGGCCTTAAGATGGTATGGTCGCGGCGAAGGGCATTCGGCCACCACGGTTGAAACGCATCCCCCCACACACACCCCCACGGGTCGACGAGACAGGCAGAGGAGGGACGGGGCGGCATAGTTTAGCGTGCCAAAGCGGGCTCGAGTGCATAGGTGCCATTGTTAGGGAAGTTAAAGGATAGGGCTGGAATTGCAAATAAGCAGAGAGGCGACTCGGGCGCATAGTGCGCAATTGATGGGGCAGGTGGTGGAGACATGCGGAGGCTCCGCGCTTAACTTCCACAGCAGGCCGTTGTGATGGACGCCGCTGCATAATGTGCATAACTACGACAATCCTGCATAAGAAAGCGATTGAACGGCACCTGCCCCACACACAGTAGGAGGGGGAGCGGAGAGTACGTGGGAAAAGGGGGGGTGGCCTAAGTCCGGGAATTAGGATAAAAGGGGGCGAAAACGGAAGACCTGTCTCTCTTACTCCAGGATCAGGCCACAAGACGCTCTGCAGCCCAGCGACCCGGACGTCCGTGCGACGCATCGAGGTACGCTGCGAGCACGGGATCAACGGACCGCCGTGGGCACCTAACAGTGTGTAAGAAGGTGAAGTAGGATCATAGCCGATAAATAGGGAATAGGTCCAGGGGTAGTAGAATAGGCCAGCCTCGTCGATTCATACTGATTTAACATCAATTCCCAGGTAGCAGACAATAAATCATTAATAGCTGATCGTGGCCTCGTGTGATCTCATTGAGCAGTGTGAACGCGTGTGGTACTGTGTACACAGTGGTTCGCCACGTGGGAGCGCTGCGCGTGTGGGTGCGCGTGTGTTCACTACGGGTATGATGCAGGTGCGCGATCATAACGTGAGTATTCAGTGTTGAGACGAGTCGCGTGTGGGGCTGGGTGTGGGTGTGGGCGTCGCGTTCGAATGCCGGCGACACCCTAGTGGGTATTAGGGCGGTGTGGCAACGCAACTGGAACAGAGGATGCGTGAGGGAGAGACCCCGGGGGCCAACGGCCCCCACAGGCGAGACCGTGAATGTTCTCATAAAAAGCAGCTGCCTCCTATAAACTGTCTCTGAATTGTTGACACTACACATATGTATGTTGAACTTCTTTTGCACCATACGTAGCCAACCGTGTTAATCAGAGGACTTACTGTTCCACGAAGACTGGACAGTGTTTTTCAGTATTCATGTCAAAGGGTTTACCTCTAAGGGGCTGTGGTCTAAAATTGTGGTCTCAAATTCAGGGACGGATGAAGGTGCTTGTTGTAGGCCCTGGGCACTTCTAGTCCATAGGGCCTGCAGTGATAACTCTCTACAGATTGTACTGATGCCCACATCACTGCCCATGCACTGTTACTCTCCATTTGAGAATGACATTGTGAGAAAAGCACCATTTGAAGATGTTTATTTGCTAATTTTGCAATGTGAAAAAATCTCAAAGCTCATCTCTGGTGTTGCCAGAAAAAAGGGGAAAAACCCTATTATATTTTGGTACTGGCAAAGGAGGTCTAATGATGTAGATGCTCACCCCGAGCCCTCATTACTTTGATAGTGCATTGTCTTTGAGCTGTGTACGCCTTTTGGCGTCCTCTGGTCGAGCACCAATTGGGTCGAGGCTCAAAAGAAAGCCGTCCCTTGGTGTGGACCAATCAGTTTCAAGGACAATGCATATATTATCATAGCGTGTTTTTTGTTTGCATTTGACTGAAAGTATTGTGGTTAATGCCGACATGAATCCTTGTAAAAAGGTTTCAGTTTTGTTGCCAGAAAAAAGGGGAAAAACCCTACTATTTCATCTCTGGTGGTTTATTTTTCGCCCGCCTTATGAAAAAAAAAAGATTAACATGACTCTGCCTCTTTGTATCTACACTATGGTCTATCCTTGTGTGATGATAGTAGAGTCAACCTTCGGTGGGAATGGACTAGTGGCCCCGGGAGGTAATGACAAGGGATTCAGCGTGCAGTGCGAATGGGCTGGGGGCCATGGGAATTACAGGGGCGTGGCCAAGTGACGTAAGAGGACGGGAGGAGAACGGTTGGTCTCGGGCAGAGGTCGCAACCGGGTACCCGATACCCGTATCCTACCCGCTACCCGTACACGGCCGGGTACGGGTAGCCGTTTGCGACCCTGGTGCGGCCGGGTACGGGTAGGCCGTGAGTCACTGGTGAGTAACTGTTTGTCACTCATTTCCCAATGTCTTGTCTCTTCTCACAATTCAAGTTCCTAGAATCAACCCAACCGCGCCTGCAACATGGCTTCATCCCAGAGGTCGCAATCAGGTACCCGATACCCATACCCGGCCGGGTACGGGTAGGGTACGGGTACGGCCGGGTATGGGTACGGGTACCCGTTTGCGACCCTGGTGCGCCCGGGTACGGGTACGGGTAAGGAATCAAAACCCGTTTGCGACCTCTGGCGTGAAGGTTTGAGAATATGGGCGTGGCCATGGGACAGGGGTGTGGCTACACGCTATAAAAGGAGAATTGGCGGGGAGGCTTGGGGCTGCTGTAGTTGGGGTCATTGCCTGTTCAAGTCTACGTGTTCTTGAATAAAGAAACCATCTCAAGACAAGTGCGTCCCAGTCGTCTTTACACTTGCTATATAAATACGAGTGTAATTGTCCGTCACATGATGCACATTTTCCCGTCGTAAATACTGCAGTTTCTTGACTCTGTCGATTACGCCATCTCTGCTCTCTGTCTCTGTTTAATTCAGTTTCATTTATTTGGTATAGCCCTGTGAGCCATTCGGCTTTTGAATCGGGTGCAACCGCAACGAACAAAAACATGAACAAGAAAACATCTTAAAGTGACTACGCGCAAACAGAAAAATCCAGGAAAAAACTGCAAAATCTTCCAGAAAAAGCACCGTACACCAACGCTGTGTCGTCTTGACGTCTTCTTTCATCTGCACTCTTCTGGATTCATCTGAATGAAATCTAAACGACGGAATGTGATGTATAGAATGTAATTTACTATTCGTGAGTAATTTATTACAAACTGGTAAATAGAGAATTACAATTGTAAAGCACCTTTATCAAAGCGTTTAAAGAGCCGTTTGAGTTACCTTTCGATCAGGAAGAAAGTAAACGAATTGTTCAACCAAAATTGGTTTTCCAAACGTATTTTTTTTTTCTCAGCTGCGCGAGTGAATAAAACAATATGAACACTTGCTTCTCGACCGATGTTTGTTGCACATGTGCAATTGTTGTAGTAATTATTGAATTATAAGTATCGACTTACTAGATTCTGTATTGAAGTGAATGCAAACATTTTTTTTAATAAACAGGAAAGTCAGTCTTGATTTGACGCTTTCGTGACTGCAGGAATCAATACTCTTTGATTCTTTCGGTAAAGTCACGTAGGTATAAAATAGAATAATTCACCTTTTTAAACAGTCTGCCTCAGCAGCAGACCGTGCTTTCCCACCTGATGACGGACGCTTGTGTTGCACCAGAAACGTCGTGATCTATTTAATTTTATACCTACGTGACTTTACCGAAAGAACCAAAGAGTTAGGAAGGTCGGTGTTTACTCATTTTCACAAATGTTCACTCTAAATGCGAGCAAAAGTCAAAGTGAAACTCCACTGAGCTCAAATTAAAAGCGATTTCGCTTCTTTATTTAAATTTCTATTCGATGTCCAAAAAATAAAACTAAACTATTATCACACAAATTAACCGAATAGATTGATTACACTCGTCAACACACTTTTTCTGGCATAAGGTATTCCAACGGTTTTAAGGTAATTTTGGGGTGCTGATATTGCATTTTCAATAAAAACTGCAGAAGAAAAATATTAAATAAATGTGGAAATCTACATAAAATGATATTATAAACACACTATCCTAAAAATACAGCACCATATTTTAACACTAAAGCAGTCACTGACTCGCAACAACTTGCAATCATAAGTGACAGAGTTAATTTCGGGTAAAATCAATGAAAATAGGGTATGCCGATAGCATAAAAATTAGATGTGATAGAGCAAATCTGATATCAGATTTGGAATCGGCACCCTGAAATTAGTCTAAAACAGCTGCAAAAATACAGGCCAGAATTTTTTGTTGTTGACCTGTGTTATTATTCTGTAATGGTGCGCAAAACTAAAAGACAAAATATAAAAAATGGGCGCACTTGGATTAATCAAAAGCGGCACTGGTATATTTTTCGAGAATATTGATTATTCTCACAAGAAACGAATAATTAGTTACAATTTTAATAACAAGCCTTACAGGAAAAACAAAACATTTCATATTGCATGAAATGTCCACGTAGCCTAACGAGCATTACACACAGCGTACAGAGTGGCAGGCGTTAGGCACAGATCACCAAAACTACATTTAATTTTTATTCCAGAAGATATCTTGGTAAATTTTTTGAATCATAAAAACAAAAACATTTTTGTAGGCACCTTTAGTTTTAGTCGGCCCGAGGCACAGTGCCTCCTGTGGCCTATTGGATAACACGGCTCTGGTGGGTGAGTGGGTGGGTGAGTGGGTGAGTGGGTGGGTGAGTGAGTGGCTGGGTGAGTGGGTGAGTGGGTGGGTGAGTGAGTGGGTGGGTGAGTGAGTGGCTGGGTAAGTGAGTGGGTGGGTGAGTGGCTGGGTGAGTGGGTGGGTGGGGGAGTGAGTGAGTGGCTGGGGGAGTGAGTGGGTGGCTGGGTGGGTGAGTGAGTGGGTGGATGGCTGGGTGAGTGAGTGGGTGGGTGAGTGAGTGGGTGGGTGCCTGGGTGACTGAGTGGGTGGGTGGCTGGGTGAGTGGGTGGGTGGCTGGGTGACTGAGTGGCTGGGTGAGTGGTTGAGTGAGTGGGTGGGTGAGTGAGTGGGCGGGTGGCTGGGTGACTGAGTGGGTGGGTGGCTGGGTGAGTGAGTAGGCCCTAGACACAGTGCCTACTGTGGCCTATGGATAATATGGCCCTTCCTAAAATTCGTATCCTCAATACCTCTGCCATTGCCATGGACAAGGGCCATTCTATATACAGGGTTCTTTAAAACATGTGAACACTTCTGAGAATTTGCAACAATACCACAAGAAATGTGCCGCCTCCGGGCTCTGGAGACCACCTGGAGAAGATTCCAGGCACGTGTCAACAACGATGGCGAACAAGTGGAGATTTACTTTTTGAAACTATTACATTTGTAATGCGAGCAAGGACAGGGTGGGTGCTGCCTCCGTGTCACTCACACGGGCCGGGGTATTGGGAGACGGAGCCTGGTCGACGGAGAGAGTGGGAGGAGCCACTGCTCACCTCGGCTCCAATGGGAGTCGGGGTGAGGAGGGGCGGAGACAGGGTCAGTACGGGAAGGAGGAGTCAGGGTCACGTGAGAAGGAGGATACAGTGATACCTCGGTTCACGAACTTAATTCGTGAACTGACTCTAGTCGTGAACCGAATTGGTCGTGAACCGAGGCACATTTTCCCATAGGGTTCAATGTAAATCCGGTTAATCCGTTCTGACCTTTTTTTTTGGTTTTTGAAGCACAAAAATATGAAACAAATGACAATACACATTACTGTAGTACTGTACAGTATAGTAATGTATAAAGAGAGAACACTAACCTTGCTTGAGATGACTTCTGGCATGGAGGAAGGCAGGTGGGAGGCGGGTGGGAGGCGGTTATTGTTTGGAGGGAGAGTCCCCCTCCATAAGGACATCAGGGGGATCTCCTTCAGGGGTTTCCTCTCTCCTTTGTCTCCTAGCTGCAGGCTCAGT